GTTGATGTGTATTAATTTGAATAATTTTATATTAAACAATGGCTTTTAATTCTATTGCTACTTTCTTATCATTATTCATAATACTAGTTTTATTCGATATAGCTAATGTAAGTAATTTTTTTTCTCTTGCCAGATGTTAATGTTTTGTAAATTGTGCAATAGACGATGTTTTTGTTAAAATCACCTGCAGTTTTTTGAACTAGCATGCTATCCGTTTAAAAATTGACAACAATAATAGTTCCGTATTTTGTATAATGTTTTGCAGACTGTTTTTAATCTTCAGAGCTTGAAAATGGGAACAGTATTGCATTGATCTTCAAAATCAGGAATATACTAGGAAAAAAAAAACTTTTGATTTTTGATTTGAGGCAAAATTTTTGCAATTTCTGAAGAAGTTATCTATGTAATGATGTGGTATAAAATCATGCGAGTTGATGTTAACATGTATTAAATGCATATTTTTAACGTTTACATGGACTGTCTGATTAAGCATTTTTCATTTGGAGTTTCACGTCAGAAGCACCAAAAAAAATAAAAGAATGGATTTTTAAAAAATGTAAATAATTTAATAAATTTAATAAAAATTTATACAAGTCCGTCAAGGAGAAGCTATGTCGATTTTTTTAATAAGTCCTATTTATGTTGCTATTTATTTTTATATCAAATTGCTTTGCGTAATTTCTTTCCCCATTTTACCTTTAGCTCATACTTTATCATCATTAAGTACCAGCTAAGCAATCATGCAGAGGGATGTTTTGCTTAATTAATGCTAGTTCTGACCCTTTTCATGCTACAGATTTATAATGCATCCTTAAATGCGAATCATATAAACTAAAGAAAAGTTCCCTCCTCCTTCTGTATTAGAAGCATTTTACATATTTACTTTAAGGTCATGTTTCCTACACATTTGCATTGTATTTATTTTTTATTTATAAAGCATATGCATCAGCAATATAAAGATATAATATTAATTTTATAAATTTAAGCTTTCTGTGGAACGTTAGTAATTTGAATGAAATGTGTTATTTGTATGGCAGTCATATTATATTTATTAACCTTCTGACTGCTCAATTTGTGGACCAAAATAGCTCCCAATTTTTTTTTTCTTCCTCCATAATTTAAATCTGTATATATTGGAGAACTGAAAAATGCACTTTTTCTTTCTAGAAAATATTTTTCATATACATTTTTATCATGAGAAACTAAGTTGCCAGAAAAACCAATTTCGGATGTTATCACACAAAAAAAAAAAAAAAAAAAAAAAAATTAAATAAATTTAAGTCAATTTACAGTCAATTTCTATTTATTGCATAATATAAAAAAGTAAAATGTATAAAATTTAAGAAAATATAAAGCGCTAAGGAAAAAATACCTTAGAAATGCAGTTTAGTATGATAGAGTTCAAAACAGGGGGTTCGAGGCAAAGTCCAACTTCACAGTTTTTGCACCAGATTCAATAAATTTAATTATTAAGCTAATTAATAATTCAATAATTCTAATTAAATCATCAAGATAATCGCTGAACGTTTTCTAGCAGCCATTTCTATAAGAAAAAAGCGGCAATAAAGTGAAGTTTGGGCGCTAATACCACGTGCCTTCAAATGCCGCAATTTAGCGGACAACTAACAATATATGTTGGCCAAAATGTAAACTAAACGCCTAATACCGTATATAATTTATTTCAATGGTTAAACGGGATGCTATCCTCAATAAAGGAAGAAAAACATATGCCCGTGTGAGGAGCAAATTTTGCTACATTTGAGTTGCCCGTGGAGATCGCTTGATGATCAGCTAAAGGGTTAAATTATGTAAAGTAGTTTTCTCTTCCTTGCTATTTTAGGTTTTTGCAAAGTAAAAAGAAATTAATATTTTACTCTGTTTCTTTAAGGCTCAATATGAAGATGTAAGATGTAAATGCATCTGCCCCAGTCCTGAAGTTGTGAAGGGTAACAAAACTGAAAGGAAGCTTTATATTGCTAATGTTGTTCCTTCTCAATGGTTTGATTTTTTTTTACAATTATTATATGTATTCGAATGCTTTATAGTCAGATTTAGTGTAGTTTGGTGCATTATATAGTCAAAAGTCTTTAATCCGGTCTAGTCGGGACTTCGGCGATTCCGGATTATCGATTTTTCCGGATTATAGATCATCAGTTTAAATCTGGTAAGATGGCATGCAGAAATTATAAAATTAAAAATATGAAACCGTAATTTATAAAATAATGAGCAATCATGATCTAAAGGGTATCAAAATTTACAAAAAAAAAAGCTTAATATTTATTTGTTTACTTTATTAAACATTTCTTTCAATGCACGCATGCGTAAAGCCCATTACGCATAGTCGAAATTAGAAAATTGCAACCAGAAAACTATTTGATTTTGTATTCATGATATTATAATGACGAGGAATTGATTTAAATCATATCAAGACGGAGTACATCGAGATTAAATACTACATTAGTAAGGAATTATAAGCCGAATAAAATAAAAACATCTGCCCTGAAGATAATGATAGTGCTGACAGATCAACTTCCAGTTCATTGCGCGCCGCGATGTTCCCCATCCCCCGCGCAGAGCAGCGTGAAATTGATAAACAGATTTCGGAATGGTTAGATAAACAAAGGATATGCCTTTATCCATTTTTTTGTAGCAATTCCACTTTTGTTTGATGGACATCGAAACATAGTTTTGTTTCGTAGATCCTTTGGGAGCTCCAGCTTCGGAAATTCTATTTGATATAATCGAAAGTTCAAGCTTACTTTTATAAAATTGCTGTTTCAGTCTGCAAAAAATAATAAGCCGGATCCAATTCGAAGATTAAGGAACAACGCAATCATCAACATTAACTGAAATAGATAATTAGATAATTTTAGCTTATACCATCCGTTATACATTAAACGCGCACGCAAAAACGTATTCTGCGCTTGCGCACATGCATATGCGCAGTCGTAAAGGTCTTGTGCGCACGCGTAAACGCCTATGCGCATGCGCAGAAAGATTTTAGCTTTGAGGTCCGGATTATAGATCATTCTGGATTATGGGTGTCCGAATTAATGACTTTTGACCGTATGTACATATAAATAGTTAGATGAAGATTTGGAGAGCTAGAGCAGTTCTATATTTATAGACAAAACAGTGCTTTTATTGTAGATGAATAATTTTGATGCATTCTTGAAAAATTGGTTCAGTAAGCATAGCTGTAAGTAGCTTGAAGAATTACATCCAAACCTTTTATATTTTTGAAATATATTTGAAGAAAGAAAGAGTAGGTGGCATTAGCAAGTTGCTAAAGAGAATGTTCAGGATGAAAATTGGATTCAGAATGATTTAAGCTTTGTTTTGATTAGTTAATTTAAAGTTTCTGTTTCAAAATTTTAAATTGTTATTTGCTGAAATGTTATGTAAGTATCTGTGAAGTATCTAGTATGTAAGGATATGCTAACACCTTTTCTCTGCTTCTGATAAGATTAATGTTTATTTACATTTATTCATATCGAATCTCATGAATAGAAAATCAGCCATTGATCCTTGGATTTCGTGGTGGCTCAAAGTTGCCACTCCTCTTTTACTTAATCAAAAGCTTAATGTGACCAAAGCAACATTACATATCCCTTTCCCAGTGACAGCAATTATGGAAGATAATCTTTTAAGTGACTGAGAAACTTTATATGTCTGCCAGTTCTGGTAGTCTTGGTTTCATGCTAAGCTTTGAATTTTCTTCAGTCTCCTTGAGTTCAGGTGTTTCACTAAGGTCTGTTCTCAGAATGTTATTCTTAGAAAGGAGTATCTGTTTCTTTCATTAGAAAACATCGTTTTAGTCTGTTAATTAAAACTCTTTTAACTTTTCCCTGGATTTCAGTATCAAAATATTTATACTTTCTTGCTCTTACAAGATATGCTCCAAGATAAGACAGGTTGTAATGAAGAATTGTTGATGTTGTTGTGCAGGTATATGTGAGAATAGTTGGAAAGTTGTTGAGAAACAAAATCTGTTCTGTTGCTATTAGTCTTGGTTTTATGCTAAGTCTCTGAATTTTCTTTAGTCTCCTTGAGTTAAGGTGCATTGAAAAGGTCTGTTTTCTCAGAATGTGATTCTTGGATAGGCTCATATTTGTTTCTTTCATTAGAAAACATGGTTTTAATCTGTCAATTGAAATTCTTTTAACTTTTTTCTGGATTTCAGGATCGAAATACTTATACTTTCTTGCTCTTACAGGATATGGTCCGAGATAGACAGGCTGTAATGAAGAATTGTTAATGTTGTTGTATAGAAATAATGTGAGAACAGTTGGAAAGTTGTTTAGAAACAAAGACTGTTCTATTTCCATAGGTTGTGATGGGTCTTTACTTTATATCTGTTATTTTCTGAAGGTTTTTAGAAAATTCAAACTATTTGATGTGAGGTACTATTGAAAAGAAAGTTTCTGGTAATGCTAAGATGAATCTGCATGCAAGTTTTGCAGATGAGTTTGAAAAAGTTGATTATCAAATTGCCGATCTTAGTCAGATATTATATGATTAGATATTTCAGAGCATGAAAACTAGTTATGAGCTTTAGAAATGGATTCTGCTGTCTTCTAATGGTACCAATTCAATCCATCATGTATAAGAATCGATGATATGAGATATTTGAATTATTTGCAAATAAGTAATGGATTAACCAAACTGTGTTAAAATGCTGGAATCTGTGAGGAGTACAGAATTCTCCCCAAGCTGATTGTGTATTTCTGTGGACTTTAGATCCTTGGTATCGTAAACATGCTCTAGACCATAGTTGTTAGTCTTTATTCATGTTGGGTCATAGGAAATGTTTTGCTATCAATTTTATTGTGGATGTTATTCCAGGATGAAATAAGTTATAAATTGATGAAGATATTTTCTACCGAAATTTTGCAGGTATGTATAGACGACTATAATTTCTAGAAATATTGCAGTATTTGTAAGATTGAGTTGCTTCTCAGTATCTCCAAATCTTCATCTTCTTCCGAATCTGCTATAGTTTGCAAGTCTATTGCAAATGTTACAGAAATAGTGTATAAATGGGAAAGTATTTTCGTTCCTTGGATGAATTAGATATCATTTGAGAACTGGCCAAGGTATGACAATTGTTTAGCTTGCTGTGGCAAAGCTTTTTCCAAATCTTGTTGGAAAGCAAATATTATTGATTTGTGATCACTGTATATTGTAAAAGATTGACTCTCTAAGACATATTTGATGTGCTTCACTGCTGTATAGATGGCAAACAGTTCTTTGTCATAGGCAGCATATTTTCGTTGTGTTGATATCAGAGTTTGGGAAAAAAAAACTCAAGGGTTGTGTTTCATTGTCCATAGTCTAATATAAAACAACTCCAATATCGGAGGCATCACTTGTTAATGATATTTTGGCCTCTTCAGATGGGTGAGTTAAATTGGTTGGCCTTAGATGGGCGAGTTAATTGGTGTATCTTCTAAAAACTGAGAAGGTGTCCCTTGTTTCTTCCATCCAAATTGCAAATCCAGGTTATTTGTTTTCGGCAGTTCCTTTTGATACCTTTGAACAATGTTGTTAAAGATAGTTGCAGATTTGTACAGTTTGATATTAATCTATGATAAAAATTCAGCATACCTGAAAATTTTCTTAAACTAGTGAAAGACTTTGGTTCCAAGAAATTCTGAGACTTTGTATCCGAATCTGCTATAGTACTGTGCCTCACACAGACCATATTCGTTTAGTCTCTCAAGGACTCATTATACATGTTGCTGATAAAACTCAAATAAGCCAAAGGATGTGAAAAATGTTGTTTTTGGTATATCTTCCTCGTAACTGGAATTTGTTGGTACACTCTAATGAGGAAATTGTTGTTCCTGCTAAAATGTAACTGTGATCTGTTAAAAAGGGAAGAGGGTATCAGGAATCATGAGGATGTTTAATGCTCAAAATAATCTCTAGTCATCTGATTTCTTCATAGCAAGAAGTAATGGGCTTGACCATTTGCTCTTGGGCGGTCTACATAAGCCCATTTAGAGCATCAATTGAAACTCCTTTTTAGCTTCGAGTTATTCCATCGATAATTTCCATCTTTAGCGGTGAACGGCTAAACCTCTGGTTTTGATGTTATGATTTTTAATTTTATTATTAACTACTTTCAGTTTTTTAGCAAATACAGTAAAACATTAATAATATTTTTGTATTGATCACATATGGCATTCAAAATTGGAATATTATTTTTATTTTGAAAACAAGGAGTTCCATTAACTGCTAACATTGTACTGCCATCAATCAACTTGCGATTTTTAAAATCTACCAAAAGCTTAAAATTTGCAAGAAAGTCCATATATAAAATCTAACTTTTCTTTCATTTCTCTTCTTTATTTTTGCTAACTTCGTATCCACCTGGTTGCTGAAGAAAACATCCAACTCAGAACAAGTGGCTGATGAAAACTCTGACCCTACCATTTCAACCAAATCTCCTTTTTTTAACTTCTTGCCTAATTATTAATTGCACAGAAATGCCTGATGTAACCGTGCCCCGTTTCAAATTAATTGGTGCCACGACCTTATCCCAGCCAATTATAACTCCATAAAAATTAAAGTAGGCGTCGCACATCCTTCTTTATCAACAGCGTGCGAAACGTCAGGGCACTTTTCCTCATCCTGGGAAAAACTGTAAAAACATCACATCCCAACAAAACGTGTGCTACCGTGAACAATACTTTTGTCTATATATTCTGTTTGCATCACAGATCAGGTAACGCATAACAAAGAATGGCACCTATCTTTATTTAAGACTTATTTTACAAAGACTGCCTTCAATATAAACAATCATAACCTTTCCATACATGCCGTTGAAAGAAGTCTTTGTGAAAACGCCACTTCCGGCAGACCATCCAGTGACCAGGTTCTCATTGAGGAAAGTGAAAACAGTTTCACTGTCACTAGAACACACACAGACAGTGAATAGATCCTATCCTTTTTCTTAACTAGAATTTCCGATGCCAACTTTGCATCCCAATGCCATATTTTGCCAACTAATTTCCTCTCAAAGAATGCACAATTAGAACCCCCCCCCCCGAGACCAGAATTTCTGCATAACAGTAATAATATTTGTCACATTTGTATGTTAAGAATTGAACTATATATAACATAAGGTCTCATTCTGCTTTCTGAAGTATTAACATTGTTGCCAATGTAACAGTTAAAATAGCATGTATAGAAGAATGTAACATTTTTTTATGTATTCACTTGATAGCTGCTTTCTTATACAGGGCTTCAAATTGTATCCCAAATGCAGTATACTGAAAAACAGATTGTATTTGCATGTGATAAAATAGTAATAGCTTTATGTTTTGTGTTGTTATTAGCTTCACTTTCTGATAATAGCTTAGAATTCATTCATTTATTTTTAATGGAATATAGATTTTATTCTAATCTTTAACTGCTGTATATTCAATATAGCTACTTTTCAGTATCGGTCATTATTGTGCATTAAAGTGCCAAATATTATAAACTTTATTTTTCATCCTAAGTAAATATGCAGTGTTTTCATTGAGAATTAGCTGGAGGAATGAACAATGATCTAGTAATTTTCGCTCTGAATTTTTTTTTAATGTACTTTTAAAAGAAAAAGGATTAGTATGGATTGCTTAATTTAACAGTTCCAGATCTTTGAACAGCTGCATTTAAATTCTTCCAAAATAAAGGTAACTTCCATATTGAAAAAAATTTGTTCCAAAAACCACAAAATAATATTGTACTTTACTAGGATCAAAACACTGAATTGAAGCTGTAACAAAAGATCATGCTGTAAGATGAAAGATGTACAGAGAAAATGCTGGTTCAGAAGTCTTCACATTCCTTTTCTGACTCTTCAATTTATTTTCTTCTAGTACCAAAAATTCACATTAATGGAATTTTGCCTACTGCATATGGGAATCACTGTATATTTATGAATTCGAATAATTATATGCATTCTTATTTGTGATTTTTTTTTTTTTTTTTTTCCTGTGTAGTCTTTGTTTTCTGTATAAATTTTGGATTTAAAAAAATAGTAATTTTTTCCTCGGGGTAGCCATTTCTGTCTGTTGTTAGATTTCACATCAATAGTTACATTTGGTACCAAGTAGCACTGCATCATCCAAAACATACCTCAGAAGAGATAGAACTGTGTTTTCCTAAAAGATGTTCCTTATTCATTTTTACAATAAATCTTAAATATGGATGCTTTATGATTTCATTTTTATCAACATTTTTAGAAAATCAGCAGTAACATTAAAAATCCAGAGTTATTTTTATTATAGTAAATATTTCTTATTCTTCTTTTGATCTAAATGATATTAAAGTAAACCTAACATGCCGAATAACAGTTGCTAGAAAAAACAGGAATAAGCTGTAACTTTTATAAATGAAGGTTTGAGTACAGTACTTTCTTCAAGTGCATCAGTGAAAATAACTAAATGATATGTAATTAACTTTACTGAATTCTTGTTAACTGCTTAATTTTTGTATTTGTAGCAAATGTGAGGGTGTTGTTATGCCACAAGCTGATGAATATCTCAGAGCTAAGGAAAAAGAATTTTGCCCTCGATGTGAATGTCGGTATGAAAGACGGAATACCACAACAATATTTGTAAGTTAATTAATGTCTTATGTACTTGAATAAATTAAGTATTTTGGTTTGAAGGAAAGGGTTATCCTAATGAAGATCACTTGAGGTAGTTTCACAGTCACTAATTTTCTGAACTGCTTTCTAGTTGCTTCTAAACTTCATTTAATAAATAAATATAACATTTTTTCAAAACTGTGAGCAATATAAAAAAACTGTGAATTGTTTGCTTTATAATGTATAAGCTCAATTATGTTAGATTTAATTTTGAAGTCTTCCCTCCATCTCTCCTCAAGTTTGCTAGTTAATTTTTGGAAAACAAAAAGGCTAGATTTTTATACATTTTGCTTTGCTAAGATTTTTGACACTGAAAAACTTTCTTTAAAATCCAACTACAAATTATTTCAGTTGATATTTTACTGTATTGAAACAGTTTACAAGAGTATATTAGACTTGAAAATGGTATTTTTATACTATTTGTACTTGATTTACCTTTTGTAACCTTGTGGGTTTAAAAACATTATCATGCTTTTTAAAGCCTTTACTGCAAAATAGCTTTCTTAATTACAATTGCAACATATAATCCATGCTTGCTGTCAGATTCTGGATTCAATTTTCAACTTAAACTTCATGAATTCAAAGTTTTTTTATATATAGATAGTGAATGTGCAGGCTGCTTGATTGATTTTCACAGTTTTTTCCCTGTGTAATGTGAACGCAGGCCTATTTCACTTAGAAAGTCCATCATGAATGCATCCATCTCCTTAAGCAGATAGCCAGCCCTCTTGAGCTTTGTCAAAGTCAATTAACCTAACCTGACTGTCATATATATATATATATATATAACATGTTTAATATTAGTCTGTCCTTCCCATTACTCTCCATTAAAGACCTACTAAGAAAACACTTAAAAGGAAACTGCATAGAATAATTTGCTTTCTTACAGAGAGATAACAGAAAAAGGCCATGAAGAGAAAAAATTATGCAGTTTACCCTGAGAGGATATAAGAAATGCAAATGATTAGCTTACTAAGCATATGCACGTCATGTGTGCCAGTAACACTATGTAGAAGCATTATAATAAGAGAGGAATCTGAAATGTTTTAAATACTGGTATTGTCTTTTTTTCATCTTTAATTTGCAAATTTCAGTATGTCTTGTTGGCAAAGAAACAGCAGGTTTCAAGTGAGTTTCTGAATTTGACAGAACAAGAATTTTGGCCAAGGGAAAATGCAGATTATTCTTTCGAAAAATCATTGCTTTTGATGGATCAAATTAAGCCATAAATATATGAATATGAAATCATTTGGTGCAGGAACAACCAATGAGAATGATTGCACCAGCTTCATCATACCACCAAACGAGAATGCAGACATCTTATGCCCATGGCAATGAAGAATTGCACAGTAGTGTCAGAAACATTGGTATGAGAATTATGGTCAGTTATGCAACAATCCTGTGTCAAACATAGCATTGGATGTTGTCTGCAGGGAAGAGGTAGCTTTGCAAGGCGCCCATTGTTGTGATTACTGTTGATTTTACACCACCACAGACATATTAGACTGCAGTGAAATAGGTGACAGTGTCTTTTCCGACAAATCTACATTCTTAGGACTCTACAATGAGCATATCTGTGTTTGGTGGCACTGTAGTGACAGACTTTTTTTACCCTTATGCATCCATCATTATGCATCACTGTATTGGTCAATCATCTGGATTTTTGGTTTGGGAGCACTATTTGATTTTACTCCCAAATTTGTCTAGTATGTGCATTGCCATCAAACTCAACAGCCAGTACTATTTCTCTCATTTGAACCCTGTTGCCCTCCCTTATCTGTAGCCAAATTTTGGCAGGACATTGTGCAACCACATGCAACACAGTCTTCAACAGTTCGTTACTTATAAGGTTGCACTGCTGCTTTCATCCTCTCATTCTTCTGGTATATTACCTGTCAAGCATACCTAGTCAGTGACTGACAAATGAGTGGTACAGCATATGTCACTATGCCAACATGTAAAAACAGCATGGACTGAGTGTGCCAAGTGCAAATTCAAAGCCTCTGTTTGGCAATGCTAAAGCATGCCGTAACAATTATTGCTAGCCATGGTAGCTGTGTAATGTACTAATTTATTAATGTTTCATTAGTTGAATGGGGTTGTAATGTAATAGCAATCAACTCTGTATAATTTATATTTTGTTTGGATTGTGTTGAATTTTGGGTGGTTAGCAGTATATATTCATTGTATTTTTATAGAATGATAGATTTATAAAGATGGTGATCTGTTGACAGTGTGATAAAGTGATAAATATTGCTTATATATGCCACAAAACATTTGTTTTCTAGATTTTACATATCAGCTGCATTTTTAACAACCAAAAATTAATCCATTTATCTCCCCCATTAATGAAGTTCAGACAGTTTTATATAATTTAGTCTTTTCTCACACTTTGCCATAAAAAAATTAGTGCTTGCTTTATTTGTATTAAAAAAATACTGAAATTCAAATTCTGTGGATATTTTATGTTGAAATAAAACATTTTATTATATGATACCTAAAGACAGCTACCAAAATTAGAAACATTACCTTTGATAATTGTTTAGCCAGTTCACCGTTTGCCCCAAGAGAGATACGTTCGCAAGAAACGCATAGTCATCTGTGAGTGTTGGCAGACTCTCGTTGGGGTGAAATTTGGGCGAGAACGTAACCCCCGAGATACATAACGTCGCAGCGTCTTTTTCCAACCCCCCCCCCCGAATGAGTCGAAAATGAAAAGGGGTGATTTGATGGGTTTACTTATCTTCTCAGCAGTGTCACATTAGGGTCACAGCGGGGTTGTTTCAGGAAAGTAAAGGATGGGGACACTTTCGTCAAGTAGCTATCTCCTCAACATATCTTATGAGATTCACAACAGTTTCTAACTTTCTATTAACAAACAAAGGGATTTGAAAGCTTTAAATGCTATCTTTTGAAATCCTAATGATTCCTTGAGGATATGATCTGTATATTATTCTCTGAACTATGAATGGCATTGAAATATTATACCTAATATATGCATTTTGTTTTAGCACTTTACCTACACAGATGGAAATATTACTTGCTTTAAATTTCATTATGACTATGTTGTACCAATTATGAATGACACTGTTGAACTGAAATTTTTGAAGTTACGTTTCATTTTTCAAAACTTTACTATTAATGTTTATTAGTCTAAAGGAGCAGTTTGCTCAGAAGGACTATTAATTTTGTTTTGATTCACTAAAGGTGTTGTTTTCACTGTACCAAATACTATCACCCTGTATTATATTTAAAGAAATTAAATAATGAAGAATCTGCATAAATGTATGTATGTTTCTCGCATTGTGATAAAACAACGGTACCTAGAGCCATCCAATTTTGAATAATGTGATGCTTCTGCGAGTATGGGCATCTGGAAGCCCAAATTTGGAATTTGTTTTGTTATAGATTTCATATTTTGTAAATTTTTTATTAACAAACTAAAGGCTTTCAAAGCGAGTAATGGCAATGTTGTACAAAAAAAGACATTTTTATCTCCAGCGTGCGAGACTGTATCAGAAATTCTAAAGATAGCTCATTTTAAAATTATTTTGCAATATTGTTCTTGAACTGAATTTATGGTTTTATGGTGTTTTATTTCTTGCCGTAAGAACAGTGACAATAAGAGAATAAGAAAAGAAACTCGTTTTTATGTGACGTAGTTTTATGTGCAGTCCCATGCTTTGAGGTGTATCATGCAAAAGAATAATTTTAATAAATAATACTTTTTGTGATATAAGCAAGTTATTATTTTTTAATGCGAAAGTATTATCTAAAATGAGAATGTCATTTTTTGAACATTATTTCAAACAAAGCTAAGAGGACAGTATTGATATAATGACAGGAAAAAAAATGTACTGTAGCATAAGGCAAGTTTAATTATATATATATGCTGTATGGTAAAATGCATAAGAAGTTCCTGTGAAGATCCTCAAGTTGAAAGTATGACAGAACTAGTATATTTGAGAGTAGAATAACTGGAATGCGATTGTGACATAAAATATTACTCTGGGAATTATGATTCATGTGAGAGATCATATGATTTATATATGTCTGTGTGAATAAGAGGTCCGAGAGAATTTCTTAAAATTTTTACTCTAGCCTCTGGTAAAGGAAATTTTTTGAGCTGAAATGAATAAGGAGGGAAAATGGCTATAACGGTTAGAAAATAAGTAGAATTATAATAAGCAATCAAAGCAGATATATCTCATTTATACCCTACTCTTTATTCAGTGTTACGTTTTCTCGGTATTTATTTAACACTTACAGACTTATGCTAACAATTAAAATTTAGTATTTGAAACAATACTTAATTTAAAAAAAGGGGGGAAAACTCGATGCTATACATAATTATATCATTTAAAATATATAAGCTATAATGCGAGTGCTTCATATTTTTAACGTACTTATACCAAAACCGTAAGAAATAAATTTAGATAGGTATTTTAGTTCATCTAATCAAGTTTTAAGGATACTGAAAAGTTTTTATGAGGGTAGCCTTATCAAATTAATAATAATTCTTGAATACATATATTCTATCTATTCTTGACTATATATATATATATATATAGTCAGATATATCTCATTTATACCCAACTCTTTATTCAGTGTTACGTTTTCTCGGTATTTATTTAGCACTTACAGACTTATGCTACATTTAGTAAGGTACATTTATAAGCCAAATAAAATAAAAACATCTGCTCTGAAGATAAGGATAGTACTGACAGATCAACTTCCAAATCATTGCACGCTGCGGTGTATCCCCTCCTTTTCAGATCAGCGTGAAATTGATAAACAGATTTCGGAATGGTTAGAGAAACGAAGGATATGCTTTTATCCATTTTTTGCAGCAATTCCTCTTTTTGTTTAGTGGACTTCGAAACATACTTTCGCTTTGTAGATCCTTTACATATTAGTAAATATATATCGGAAATTCTATTTGACATAATCGAAAGTTCAAGCTTACTTTAAAATTGCTCTAACAGTCTGCAAAAAATAATAATCCGGATCCAATTCGAAGATTAAGGAACAACACAATCTGCAACATTAACTGAAATAGATAATTATATAATTTTAGCTTAGCTTATCCCGTCTGTTATACATTAAACGCGCATTCGTAAACGTATTTCGCGCACACGTAAATTCGCAGCGGTAAAGGTCTTACGTGCATTCGTCAACGCGACGCATGTGCAGAAAATTTGTAGCTTTGAGTTCCGGATTATGGGTGTCCGAATTAACGACTTTTGACTGTATAAGCTATAATGTGAGATATATATAGTCTTGGATATAATTCTTGAAGTTATTTACTTTTATGAGGTTAGAATAAGGAAAAGGGAATATTAATGGCATTATAAAGATAACGGCAACAATTATAATTTTAAAAATTAAAAATGATAAAAAAATTTGCTGCTTAATTGTATTATGAACATTGTTGAGTTTTCAGTCTATTATTCAAAAGAATGGGCACTCCTCTAGTAATCTAGTCGATAAGAACCGCTAAAAATGCTAACTACTTTCTTACTCTTTGAAATAGGCACTTCATATAATTAAAACTTTCCTTGCTGTAGAAAAAGTACAAGTTAAAAAAAAAAAAAAAAACTGTAAATTAAAAATTGCAATTTTTAATAAAAACCTTAAATATCTAAGCTAAAGAAAGATCTTTTTATCACATAAAGAAATTAATTTTTTTAATTTAAATATATAAAAATATAGAGGAAATAATTTGATCATTATTTTTGTTACAGGTCATCAAGAAAATAACAAAACAAAATTCAAGAACATTTTAAATAGGCAATACTATCTAATGCACTTATTTTTACTTTAAATAAAGCTTTTACTTGGCAATTAAAAATTGCATTTACATTGTGATAGATTGCAATAGATTTGGATTTAAGTGCAGAAAGTGGAAGTGGGGTTTGGGTGCAAAGATTTCGTGATTTCAATAAAACTCGAAAATGGAAGTTCGAGTTTAAATCATGAGAATTGCGGAAGAAGAAAATTGAACAGCGTTCTGAGTAAGTCACATCCTCCCTTACTTTCATGATTTACCTAGCTGTCACCGGTTTATTATTGTAGCTCACCAGCTCGTCGGTTAACTGACCTGCAGTTATTTTTAGTTTAGTGTCCTATACAGCATTCCTATTTCTAATCCATCTTCGAAGCTTAATGTCTCACATGTTAGTATTTTCAAGATCATCACCAGGTTCTTTTTGTATCAACTTTAGAACTTCCTAAATTATTCTACAAGGGGTAGGGCCTTCGGCCCAGGTACCCTGGTGTACCAAAGCACCGTTTCACTGGAGGACTACACCAGTCTTTGTGTTTTATGTTGCTCTTTAGGGGGTCATCAGTTCAATCTGATTTGAACAGAACTTCTAAATAGGTTTTCATAGCTGGTGAAAGGGGGGAAAGAAATACTCTTTTAGACACAAAGTTTACCTTTGGACGTGAAAAATGGCACGAAATGTTTGCAATTTTCCTAACGGCAAACTGGTTAAATGATTGGATGTTGTTGATTTTTGACAAATTACCTTATGTGACCCTAAAAATATAAATTTTAAATAAAATAAGGCATATGCAGGATGCACCGAAAGTTCACGTCATTTATCCAGAATTTTTACCACCCAACCTGTGCTTACTAAATTTCACTCATGTGGCTCTGCACCATAGGAAAGATTGATATGCAAATAAGGTGTTCTTTAAAAAAAAGCTGTACACTTAATGAAATTTCAAATTTTTGCTGATGATTTATTTAGAGTTTGCTTAATTAGGCATTGGTAAAATTGTTTCAGATGATGGGAAATCATTAGTTTTAGTTTTAGGACAGTTTCATACACTAAAGCAGATGAAATATGCTTGCAACTTTCAAGTGTCATTTTGAGAAATCTGAAAATTTTCTATCAGAATTGCAGTGACTGACTATGATTGGTTCAATTTTGTCATAGGTGACATTATCAATAAAGCAGTGTTAGCCATGTGGAATTACAAGGATCTCCAGTCTCCAAATTCAACTGTACTGCAGATCTTTGACTGTGTGCTGCAATTATATCCCAGTAAATAACAATTGCTTCATCAGATGCATTTAAGGAATATGTCACATAGGTATTAAAAAAAGTTGATAATCCACAATAGATTCTGTGTATCCATTTTATGTACATTAATCATTGCACTGAGATGTTAATCCCACAGTTATCAAATATAAGCAAAGACTAACTCCCTGTGTTGCATAGAGAAGCAGTAACAATGGTTACAAGTCATTATGGGCTATGGTTTCATGACATGCATCATCATTGGCTCCATCTTTTTTTTTTTTATTTATTTATTTATTTTATATATAAATATAAATAAATATATATATAACAGTCTCTGTGAAGTACTTCCTTAGAAATGTATTTGGTTGTGAACAATTAATTAGTCGCCCCATTTCTTAACTGTTTAGTAATTTAAAAAATGCTTAGATCTAGCAAATAACTCTCATTTTGCTGTGTGCTCATTTTGATTCTTTCATATTGCTGTGATAAATTAACTTAATCAGCTGTCAGAATCACATTTATGTCTATCAAATGAAAAGTTTTCTCTTTTAAGTACTAATTCAAGAATGCAAGACATTTATCTGAGCATCATTTTATTAAAATGTTGCATAATGTATCTATTTAATTTATTATTATTACTACTTAACTAATTGATAAGCTTTTATTTTTTAAATTTATTATTATTTATTTCTACTGAAACTCTTTTCTCACTTTTGTGAATCATGCAGGTTGTGGTTATCATTATCATCTGGGTAATTTCGTTGCTGACAGTGTACATGCTATTTCTCATGTGTTTGGATCCATTGCTAAATAAACGCAGAACTGCTTATCAAGAGCATACAAATGAAGAAGTAACTCTGGTGAGTTTCCCCCACAACCTCTTTTTCATATATTTTCAGTAGTGTTGTATGGCTGTAATTTAGCTTATTAAAATATTCCTTCAAAATTACTACAGATTTTATAATAATCTTCTAGTAGTCTTAAAATACTGTGCATATATTGTAATTTCTAATTTTCTGGACAAACAAGATTATTTTAAGAGTAACCATAATTTTATAATAATTTTGAATGAATAGTCTGGCTAAGAAATCATTAAAATAGTAATAGAAGAGAGGATCCATAAAACTTCAAGAATAGTAAAGAAATAAAGAACATTATATCTGTGTATATCATAACTATATGACGGTGCAAATGTCTGTGATTCTTTTATGATTTTCGGAGAATTTTCTGAAATTTCACAAATATCAAATCAGTCAACTATTTTCTCATTATCCAGAGACGTCTGTTACATTTATTGAATTAATATGTATATTTATTGGATGATAGCAAAATTTTCTTACCTGATCTGAAAATAAAACACAAATTCTGACATCTAAAAGAAAGCGGGCTTCTCTATATTTGATGTATTCACAATATTTGCAGTCATGCTTTCACAGATTCAAGATTTGTTTTGCAGAAACTGGTACAAGTAAAAATGTAATGTAGGAAGGTCTGGAAAGTACAAAAGCTATTGGAGGCTTTTTCGTTTTAATTCTTTAGTTTGTACAGCATCACTTATTTAACAGGCAGACTAGCATTTTTATGATAGATAATGGTATCCTTTTGAGATATTTTCGGTGAATTTTGCACAAGCTTAATGAATTTCTCAAAACATATGTTTGCCATAATTATTTCTTTTGGTGAGAGAAGCTTGAAGAAAATAATTCTTTTGCAGTTTCATAAAACAGAAAGCAATATATCTTCATTAGATGAAAGGTAATTCTTATTATGGATTTTCTATTCTCATCTGCTTATTGTCAGCTTCTTTTTCATCGTATGTTCTTGAAATGGGTTCACTTTCAATTGTCTTTAGAGTCCTGCTGATTAATTTCAGTTCCTACAGAAAATGAGGTTTATCATCCAAGTTAAATATCATCGTAATGAAATCTGCCAAACCGATCCTTTATCATGCTAAGTGCAGAAGCATTTTCCTGATTATACATCTGAATTATTTTCTGTTGTGGCTCCCAATGCTCGCTTTTCCTTAAACTCATATAATATAACATGGCACAAATGTAACTTTTCCTTCTGCATTTTGATAAACATCAACTCATGTATATATTAACTTTACTCATATCTGTTAAGAAAATGACTTATCATATTCCTATGTAGCCATCAATATGCTTTTATGGCTGTGAAATAAATACCAGTGATCCCTTGCAATTATAAAAAATAGGCACAAAATTTTTGTGTTCATCCAGTAAATAAATTTTAATTTTGCCCATCATTTGAATTTACCTAAAGTTGTGCTTATGTAAAGTAATCTTATTTCTGAATCCAAACGAAAACTTTCAACTTTACCTCCCACAATTTCAGGTCAGGTCCAGGTACACTGAATGTTTGGTGGATTTCTGGAATTTAGAAACAGATCATTTTCTTAAGCAGCATAAAGAAGATAATATCTGTTTGATGCCAAATTATCATTTTGTAAAGTAAAAACATATATATATTGCAGAATGACAGATATTGCACTGAAGAAGATAATGAGTATGCATACAAATATAATGTATCAAAATGTCTTCTAGTATTGAAAATCTTGATTTAATGTATCAGAATTCATTGCATTACCAGAATTTGGAAAATTTGTAATATAATACTAATTTAGTTATGTACTGATTATTGTATCTCTGCTTGTATCTGGTAGGCCATTATTACAACATTTTTTAATATAAATGCTATGCTTTAAAATTTTGAACTTTCCTGATTCATCTTTCAAAATTATTGTCCTTCTCATACAGAGGCGTAGCTAGGGTTTTCAGCACCTGGGGACAACTGGAGATTTTGTGCCCTTTCTGTTTGCCACGAATGGAAAACACTTTACTCTAAAATTTTTAAACGACTATATCTGAAATCACAATTCACTTCATGTCCCAAGAACTTGCTTAGAATTAAAGGTATTACTGAGCACAAAATTCCTCTGCAGTCAGTTGCAATTGCTCAGTCCAGTGGAAGCAGCCAAGGATTCATGAAGTGTATGTGTAAAACAAAGTACCAACACATGAAATGTCTTTGCGTGAAAAAAGTAGTATAGTGTCATTCATACCTACCATATTTTCATAAGTAGGTTAATTTTAATATCTCCTTTTTTATGTGAGCATTTTTTTCCCTTTAAGAAAGGCAGAAATTTTATTTTGTATAATTTTTCATTTTGCATTTTGAGATAAGTTTTTTTAATAGCACTCTTTCATAATATTTTCAAAATATTCTTCTACCATCTCAGCCGCGATCATGAGCACAAACACGCATGTGCCATTTGGACCGAATTATTCTCAAAATAGAGTGAAAGGATGGGGGACTTTCTTTACCTCGAGCATATAAGTTCACTCTTTCCGGAGAAGAGAAAACTTTCACGTGACCTTTTGCATCGCAGCAAGTAATAACACCACTTTTGGATGAGTCTATGTGTTTTGGTGGAATGCCGGACAAAGTTGCGTTTGAGACGGTCAAACTATAATGTGCATTTTTGAGGAATGTGTGGCTTTTAAATAATAGCTTTATATGAACTTTTTTCATACTTTGCTTAAATAGCATTTATCACTCTTTAGAATGCCTAGGTATTATATACAGTGTTCAGAGAAAATATTGTAATAATTCCCGTATTTCATACTTTGCTTAAAAATGCCAGGCGTTCCATACCTTGCCGATAACAAACACTGCACGCATACATATGTTATGAAATCAATACATGCTTTTTGTTAATTAATATGAACAAAAACACACAACACACATGTTTTTAACTAAAACACAACAGATGAGTAATTTTTCCTGATTTGCAGGATTCATTGCAATTGAACGTTGTTTCTTAGACAGAAAATTTAGTGATATTATTATCTCCATATATCATCTAATATTATCTTTATTTCTTGATAATATCTAAGTTTTGCTTTACAGTTTTGGTGAACTGATTAGTGTTTTTATCTGTATATTTGAGTAATTAATATCCTTAGTTATTATTTTTTTTTTTTTTTAATATTTCACATAATCTTTTTGTGGTAAATTATGTCTATGCTGTATTCCACAAGAAGCAGAAAATGAAAAATAAATGGTATCAACAAAAGTCTAACTAATTTCATAGCCACAATAATGTTTTAATGGCCAGACAGTGTTCAACATAAAAAATTAACATTTGTATGCATATGTGGGGACTTAACTAAAGCATGAAGTCATTTAACTTGGAATGAATGTGTTTCAGTATTGGTCAACACAGGTCTACAACTAGCACATTTTGAAAAATTATAACTCTAAAAATGGCCATTCCTGGATGTGAATAATCTGTTCAGTAATGAGACAGAAATTTTATTTGAATACAAAATGAAGTATACTTTTTTAAGGCAAAAATTTTGAATGAAGACTTGTTTCTTCAGTAAAGTGATAAGAATGAGAAATAACTTTCATATGATTGCAAGGAAAATATAATGCTGTTTTAAAGACAGCCTAACTATTGACAGAGCCTTATCTTTAACTGGTAAAAATACAAACATTAACATGTTTAAGTCAGAATGAACTCGTATTTCAATATTTAGCCCCATAGGCCTATTATTAGCACAGTTTAAAAAATAATGATTCCAAAGTTATGTATCGTTGTTATAAAAAAATGAATTGCAAAAAATAAAAAAATGTTATAAAAAAGTAAAGCTGTTATTATTAAAAAATGAAGTAAAAAATTGGTGCATTTTAAGGAGTTTCATTTGCCATTTTCTTCAGTATTGGGAGTTTACTTGAATACTTATCTTACAATCATTTTCAAATTATAGTTGATTTTATTAAAATATTTATCAGATATCACTTTTTATTATAGTGTAAATTGTTTTGTTTAAGCAGAGTGAAGCGATACCTATGCCAAGGCCTAGAGTAGGTAGCACTAATGTTCTAAATCGTGTTGGGCAACAACAAGACAGATGGAAAAGACAAGTACAAGAACAAAGACGGAATATTTATGATCGTCATACTATGCTGAATTAAAAGACCTCTATTTTATTAATACTATCACAGTTTTATACATGAAAAGTGAAAATATTTAATACATATGTATATAGGGCTTTTCTTAAAATGCTTTGTATTTGGTGTCTTTATTAAATTGGTGATACATTACATACCATATACATCATGGGTTTTATAATTAATGTAAGTATTATTCTTTTATTATTAAGTAGTTCATTTCTATTATTAATTATATGCTCATATTTTTTATGAAAAAAGTTTTTTTTTCCTCTTGGTGTACTTAAAATATGGTTTATTTGCTGTTTTCTTCACTTGATTAGAATGAAACTCATTTGAACATATGGTCCCTTTTTAAAGCATAATTCAGCTAGTGACTGATAATTCTGTTGTATTTAAAGATATATACTTATAAAATTTATGTTCATATGAAATGTATTTCTGGATAGTTATATTTTCCCATTTTTCTTTGTGTGGTTGAATGCATGATAATTAGGATCTAAAATTGCATTATACTAGCGTCTAAAAGTGGAAGATATTCCTTTTGAGTAATATGTTTCAACCTCTCTGCAGCAAAACATTTCTCTGTCAGGTATTGAACATAGGAAACTGCTTAAAACACATGTGCTTAAAACATAAAGCAAAATTCTGTATTAGTAAATATAAGCTCATTTTAAGGAAATTAAATTAAACGTCAGTAATCTGTAAAGTTTCCTCAGTTCCTTTTTGAAAAACTAAATCTCTTTTAGCACATTATATGTTGCACCAGCTTGCTTCACAATATAAAGTTTGTTGTAAGTGTTTTATTTCAGTTGATGATAAAGCTTCATTGTCTGTAAAATTTACTCTTTTTTTTTTTTTTTTTTAAAGGAATTATTGTGGTTTTTTTCTGGTTAAAGTGCCTTCTATAGAGTCTTGTAAAATGCATCTTTTATGTTATGAATTTGATTGTGTCTATAACGGTTCTTAGTCCTACTCAAGTCCTGTTTTAAAATTATTCTAGTTATAAAATTTGCCTCTGCTCGTGTTAATATTTGTCTTGTACTTTGCCTTGTATCATTATTTTAATAAATAATTTTTTCAAAGTAGTATTTATTATTTAGCATGTTTACCTTGTTTGCAAAAACTTTAGGCTAATGTTATTTTTAAAACAATTATAATGTAGTTATTCTTTATTTCTGTTATGGCTTGTAAAATGTAATATTAAGAACTAAAATCCTGAGATTAATATTATGTTTTTATGTGATAATACAAGCATTTTCATACAGCTATTTTTTATTTTCTTTGTATATTTGACATAGCATAATTATATTTTTTTATCTTATTGTCAAGGAGCAAAAGAATGAGTAAATCATTGAAAATATTGTTTTTATAACTCATTTTCTTAAATTAATTCTACAAAATGTTGAAAGATCTTGATTGTGCTTCCTAAACATGCTACAAAACATTATATTATGTCATTTGCATTTATATTCCTTTTTAAGTGTCTGTTTTGTTTATGAAATTTATATGTTTTTTATTTAAAAACTTTTCTTAAACCTACTGAACAATTTTTTTTTTTTTTTTTTTTTTTTTTCAAAGATAGATAATGTGGTTATATGTCAAATTGATTTTCGTGATGGTACTAACTCTTTATTTGATGTTGCCTTAATATTCACTACTGTTTTGTCTAAGCTCTATTATTGGCTATAAATTTTAGTGAAATAAGGAACCTCTGAGTATACGTGTATTTGTTTTCAAATACTTCATTTCAGCTGAAAGAGTTATTTCACACAGGGGCTAATTGTAAAATTCTTAAATATTTTAAAGGGATGAAAATTTAAAAAAAAAAAATGGAAATGACTATACTTGTATCATAATTTTGTGTTAAAAGAATGAATAAAATTGGCATTCTTTGTTTTTTCTTTTATTATTATATTATTGTGTACTCTAAATTTTAAGATTTGAGCTCTGATTTTATTTAATTTTCATTTCTTGGTTTTTATGTAGTATTTTCAATTTATAAATGCATCAAATTACTTGTTATACTAGTCATTACACCAAAAAAACAAAAATTGGAATTTAATATCAATTCTTGGCAAAATTGTAAATATAAATTGTATATATTTTCTATTAATTATTGTGTCGTAATAATATTGATTAAAACTATCATTGTATGCTGCTTTTATTGAAAATTGTGTAGATAGAAATGTTTATGATCTGATTTGTCAATATAATTTAAAATGTTTTAGTAACCGTTGCATTTTTTTTAATATCTCTGGGAAGAAAGCCCAGCAGCTGCTGCAATTTTATGTGGTGAATTGCAATTGTTTTTAATATGTTTGTTGTTTGTTAGAGTAAGTAATTGAGAATTTATGGCATACCTTTATTATTTTTCTTATTCTTTCCTTAACTATATGATAAAAAGAAGATTGGGATCAGGGCATTTTCTGTACATAGTGTTCCTATTTATTTCTATGCAAGAAGTGACTTTGTGGTATATGTATATAGCTATGTATGCAAAATCTGAGATTTTGTATCTTTAGTAGTGTGTTGAATTCTAATAAAGTAAACTTTGTAGTTATGCTATTATCAACGTGACTGAGTGAATAATATGATATTTAGTTTTTGCTGTGTTAGAGCTGCAGTGAGATTTCCTAAAAATAAGGAAACTCGAGCAGAAAGTTTAATTTTGTTTTCACAAACTTGCAATTGAGAAAAAACATGTAAATAAAAATTGACTGATCCATGAAATGAATATTGTCACCATTGATTGCCATGACTTAAAAAGAAGCAGCTAAAACAACTACATTAAAAGAAAAGTTAAATAAAACAAATAAATATTGAAATTTTTAGTTAATTTTGATTCCCTTGAGGTTCCAAATGCATCATTATTTCATAAACAATTATTTTATATTTTTGATTTTATCATTTCTACATGTTATGAACTAAAATCCTAAATTACCGAAGTCTAGACATTGGTTAGGTTAGGTTATTTAATTATGGCAAACCCTCAAGGACTATCTGCCTAAGGGGAGGGATGCCTTCATGGGGGACTTTCTAAGGGAAACTGGCTCGTATCTGGACATTGGACATTCTACTATATTCTGAATTATTTTAAATTATATCAGGTTCTTACTGCATAGTAGTTTTGAGAATTTGTGAAATGAAATAATGGTCACTCTTACATGCAATAACTAGCTTTTTGAATGATGCTTTATAGAGAGACTATAAATCAAATTTGTCAGTTTGGAGTCCTTTTGACGTCGCGTGGTTGCCCAATGTGAAAACCTGGTTTTTCATGTTTCAGTGTTGGCACATATAAAAATGAAAAAGAGCTCTCACTTTTTTAAATATATTGTGAGGAAAAAATCTGAGAAAATTCTTTAAAATAAAATATTGCAGAATCAATTTAATTTTATTCCGTTGTGTTATATGTTTAGTTTGTTGGATTCTTTTCAGACCTTCTCGGAGAGGGTTCTATCTAATAGCAGTTCAACAGTAATCATGAATAAGTGACCCAAGTATGATGCTTAATTCAGACACACAGTAAAACATTTATTTGAAGCGAGCAATTATTATTCCTGTCAGTACAGGCCGGTAACTTTAAAACTAATCAAAACATCAGGGTTGCCAAGCTACTTAGAAAACCGGGAAAAGTCAGGGAATTTAAATATTTTAGTAAAAGTCAGGAAATGTCAAAGTGTGATCCACAAAAAAGGGACTTTCATGCCAACATTGTAAGCAATCACTTTCTTGGCAAATCATGTATCACGTGAGAATCATTCAAACAGTTAGTTATAGAGCTGAAACTTTTTCTTTTTTTCATAAATGCTTTATTTGTTATTTTGCAGTAAAATAAATAACAGTTGTCTAGTCTAACCATTTAATATATCTATACCAAAATACCATCTATTTTTGCAATTCAGTTTTTGATCCTTAAGTAATTAACTTTATTTTAATTATTTGTTTATAATACTTTCAAATTTCAGGTAATTTTCTCTGGCATACTTGTGAAACTAATTGTGTCAGTGTGATGTCTACCATCACAAAATTTGGTGCATATATGTTTTACATATGTATGCCGCTAAATAAATATAAAATACTTGAATTTAAAACACCATTAAATAGATTTCTTTCTTCCTTTAGCTGCAAAATGTCTGCAGAAAGACATTTTTTAATCCCAATTGGGCAGATTTTAATGTCAGTCCTCAGTTGAGAAAACAACTCCTATTATAGTTATAATAGTAATGCGGCAAATTTTTGTGTTTTCAATTGGTGCTATAATTAATTTATCCTTAGCACAGCCAATGCAGATAGCCTGGAATTTTCTTGAAACACACCTGGAAAGGTCAGGGAATTCAATTCTCCTGTTTGAGTGGTGACCCTGAAACATACAAGGTGCTTCTTAAACGTTTGGTGAATGGATGGATATCTCGTGATTAACATGAGTTTAAAATGCATCTTTTTGCATGTGCAATTAGAGACAAATGGAGAGACAATACGTGGCAAGAAACCAAGGCAGAATAGTCTGCCACATAGGCAGTCAAACAATGTATGTTTGAAAGCATGTGTCATATTTGAATGGAGCAACAGGTAGACATGAAATTTTGCTACAAATTGGGGAAAACCGCCACAAAAATGCATGCAGTGTTGGTCCAGGTGTACAACTGGTTTAAACATTTTTGAGAGAGGAAGGAAACCATGGATGATGAAGCATGTTCAGGTCAACCATCAACAAGTGTGACGTCTGACAATATTGAGCGGCTGCAACAGATGCTCTTAAACAATCGCAAACTGTCTTTATGATGGATATGAGAGGAATTGAAAATCAACAAGAATAGTGTTAGTACCAATATTTGGGTAAGCACAGGATCTATTTCTGCCCTCATCTGTGGAGCTGAACTCATTGCTGCACTTGTTTTCCGACAAGCCGAAGGAAACACAAATGCATGCTCCTGAAGATTTCATTAACCAATATTCAACCTCTCTGCAAACTATCGTCACAGATGAGAGCTGGTGCAACTAGTATGACAGGATTGCAGAGTTTGTACTGTAAGTATCTAGTATTTATCATGCATCAATAGCTTTAAACAGGGCAGTACAGATGATTTTATTAGTAGAGCTCTCATGATTATGGTTACAGGGGGGGGAATGGAAAGTTTTGAATGGCAACGTGGACCTTTTTCTCTGTAAAAATGGATCAGCACATTTAAAAAAAAACATAAATGACGTTGCAACAATATGCATCTAATGAAAATTGCCAACGCAAAACATTTAAAAAAGCATTATAAAGGACAAATGACGACACAAGAGTTGAAGGAAAGTTTTTTTATTAGAAGTTTTCAACTTGCTCGTTCTCGTAGACAATAACCCATTGCATGCAGGAGGTTGTTGACAACAATGACAAATATAACATTACAAAAGGAATCTGTATAGCCACTTTTTATGGTATCTTTCATTGCTGACAAATCTCATGGATTTCATGTGTATATTGTAAATTTCAGGTAATCCCCGAAACAGAAATCCATGGGAGTGAGGTTGGGGGATTGCGATGGCCATGAAACTGCAAATTTACAGTGGATATACTATATTGCTATCTCCACAGTTGCATCAGCACTGTGGAGATATCTCCACAATGCTGTTGCAACACTTGCTGAACATGTGGAGGAGCACCATCTTGCATGATTAATGACATATCACATTTCGCTGCCACAATTCTGGAATTACATAATTCTGCAACATTGTTGTAAATTTAACACCTGTGATGAAGCACATTTTCATACCTGTAGAAGTGACCTTTTCAAAGAATTACAGACGGAGAATGAATGTACTTGCTATGCCACACCACATATTCACTTAAACTTTGCATAAAGACGCTGGTGTCACATCATGAGGATTTTCATCAGCCCAGTGAGCACAGTTCTTGCAATTTGCATTTCCAGTTAAAGAGAAATGCCCTTATCCATCTATAATATCTGCAGTGGCCACCTGTTAACTTACTCATATCAGATAAGGGGAAAAAATTCACAAAGTCAACATGATATTCCTTATCTCAAGGTTGCTCTGGAGTTGCTGACCTTATTTGCACAGGAAAAAATTGGATGTTGCCATTTGAAATTTTTTCACTGTAACCATAAGCGTGAGAGCTCTGCTGTTTTAAATCAATACTTTAAATCTTATTTTATAATCGTAAGTTTTTTATGACAACAATGACATAACAATATGTGTGTGATATAAAAAACATGTAAATGAGAATTATAATTTACACTAGCGGTAACCTCCCTTAATTTTCCCTCTCTTAAAAATCATAATGACTCTTCTGGGTGCGTCATTTCTAGATCAGTCCAACTCGTATGTCCTGTGTAACGCTGGTGACATAGCTAATTTTAATCCTAACTCAAGAGAACTGAAACCTTTCTAACTTAAACCTTCTCTTGGCAAGCCTCCATATTGGATAATTGCACATTTTAGCTTCAGCTCTCTTGCAGCCAAGATACAACTTTGCTCCCTTTGCTTTGTCGTGCTGCTAACTGGGCCTTTATATAAAATATGATACTCTGTATAAAATTGGGGGGGTGCATATTGCACCCATATTCGTGTGTGATGAAAAATATGTTTCAATAGTTTGTGTCCAGCAATGTTCAGTTCAGCCACGTCTGTTTACAAGTCTCTCCTTCAGGTGTCACCTTTTTAACTGCGCAGTAAAGTCTCTTCAAAAGGTTTTTGTTAATGTTAAAAAAGTTTCACTTAAAATTTTGAGTTCAAGTTCCGAATTAGCTACGTAATTAGTGTTACAGAAGCCACGTGACATAGATTAATCTAGAAATGCAGTTCAGAAAAGTTATTATTACTTTTAGAATACAGAGAGGAACCATCCAAATTAAAAATGAAGAATTAAGAGGCTATTACTAAATTAAATTATAAAGCTGATTTACTTATTTTTCTATCTTACAAAAACGTGAGACAACAAGTTCAAAGCTATAAGTGAGAAGTTCAAGGAATGAAAGCTGTTTACATAAACAGTAGAGACGCTGTTCGCACGTTTTTTAGACGATTTTGCTTTGCTGTAAAAAGACAGAAAAAAATCTGCTTGGAATTTTTTTTTAACAGCAGCTATATTTTTGAAAGTATAAATTATCGTTTGCTACTTGGCAGTTTTGTTTTGGATGAAAGGTTATGTTTGTGTTCTTCCGATGAAAATCATTCATATCTAGTTATTAAAAAAAGGTTGTGAAAGCCATGGTTTTTCGATATCTAAAACTACGATAGGTGATGTTGTCAACAACGGGAAAAGTCCAAATTTGGATTCAAGTGGAAAAAATTGTTCTTAAATACGTATCCAAGGGAAAATCGAAATGTTTCGAATGTTCATTGTGTAATCAATGTGTAATCAATTGTGTAATCATCGAATGTGACAGCTTTAATGTTAAAAGAAAATCCGCTGAGTCAAAGGACACTTGCAAAATCATTAAATGCTTAGTATCAACTGTAAACAAAGTTATTAATGCTGATTTGAATCTTAAAGGTTAAAAAAGGGTTTTGAAAAGGTTAAAAAACAATGTGCATCGTCTTTCTCCTCGATATATGGCAAAACGCCCTGCAGAATTCTTTAAGAGAAGTATTTATCGGATAAAAATTGAAAAATGTTATCACGATAAAGAAATCTTTTGTGTACTTAAATGACTGCAATAAAAAGGGTAGAAGCTTTTATAGTTTTTCTTAAAAAGCGCTTTGGTCGAACCAACCTTCTC